CTGGTTCTCAGTCAGTTACAGAGCTGCCAATTTTTGCTATACACTGTGAAGTAAGCAGCAAGTTTTCCTGTGTAACCAGAGAAGTACGTGTTGGATTTTACATAGTCTGAGTGCCTCATGGCTAGCCCTAAACGGGAACTGTGTACATTATGGCAGAGTAAGAATTCCTCTGCAGCACAGGCTCCAAGGTGCTTTCTGAGTAGGCTCGGTGTTTCACATAGCTGTTGCAGCTGATGTGGTGCAAAACATAACACTTTTCTCATTATTCATTAACTGAAAATGGAAACAGTGTGGGGAGAGGCATTATGAGGTGGGGGGAGGGCTCCTGAGCAGAGGAAACCTGGGGTAGCACAGACAGTTTCTGTTGATGTTGCTGTAGGAGTTGCTCTTAATCTTTTTCTTTCCCTTTCAGTCATTCACCATCAGGAAGCCCTTGAAGGAATGCAAGTCCTGGAAGAATGGATTAAAATTTAAAATGTTTAAGAAGAAAATTTATTTTGTTTACATTATTATAAGGGATTTTGTGCTGTCTTTATAAATGTAAGGGCTTAGTCCTAGAAGGCTGTTTCTATTGACTAACAATTGGCATTAATCTGGTTCTTTTAAGTCTTATTAGTAGACTAATGCAAACTTTTTTGTTGTCTTAAGGTTCTGTGATCTGGAAATGTTGGGCTTTTTTTATTCGCACATTGAAATAAACTGTGCATTTCTAACTAAGAAATATTTTGTGATAACCCTGCTGTTTCTGCGAATATTTGGGTAGCTGAAGCAGGTCATGTGTTACTGTGGCTGTCCCCCAGGTGTGTATGCCTGCCTCTTGTAGGACTTCACTCTTACCGAGCAGTGATTAGAGTGGGGAGTTAGCAGCACCAGCTCTCATTCTTACTGTTTGGTCTTGTTTTATGGTGCTGTGTACCTTGTGTTTCTGTTTGCACCTCCTCAAGGCTCAGTGAAGCTGAAAACCTGTCTGGAGGTGCTTGGGCACTTGATGATTTGACTTACAAAAATGTCTACAAAGGGCATGAAGGGAAAAAAATAAGGAATGTGTGAATGCTGGTATGTCTGTCCTGTTCATTGAAGGACCAGTGAGCTTCTCACCTGAAGGTATTTGGAATACTTCTGGAATGTAGACTATTGAAGTAAATATTTTTAGAAGTCTTGTTCTATGTCCTGGTTGTCCCAATGGTACTACTACTTTGATACATAAGATAAATTGGCAGCTCTGGTGCAGAAGATAATACCTTTAGATGCTCTCTTCAGGAAGTTGAGGCTTTTTTTTTTTTTTTTACAGATAGAAGGTCACAACCAGGACATGTAGGTCATGTTTAAGTAGCAGTACATCTGGGAATCAGGAGCTCATGTTACACCTATCTGACCTGATCCACCTGGTCACATCTCCTTTAGCAGGAAAGAGTAACCAAGGGACGTGCTGCTGTCCTGATCAGTTGTTCCTTCGGGAAACTGGACTGCAGCTGCCTGTGTCCAGATGGGCCCCATCTCACCACAGATAGGTTATTGAAGATCTCATACAGGTATGTATGACCAACTAGTTGAAGGTGTTTGCCAGTTTGTCTCTGCAGCTGATAATTGCTGTTATCAGGCTAGTAATGAAATCAAAGTGACAGGTGATTTTTTACTTTAAAGTGTTCCTTAGAGCATGTTCTGGCATGAATGACTGGTCTCACAGGCCAGAGAGGAATAATAATTCTCTTGGGGCTTCTGACGTGTCAGCAGAGGGTTGATACTCTGCTGCGTTTGTGCATGGGCACCCAACCCCAGGTTTTCAGATAAACTGTGGTCGTTGTTCCTTTACAAGATGTCCAGGTATTAAAAGAATAATAATGAGGCCCTAGACATGACTTCACAGATCCTCTTCCTGTGTACTAGTGTTTGTCTCCTTCCTCCTCTGCTCTCTTCCCTGTGTTTGTTTGTTTTAGTGCATTGGTGCTTAGCTGACAAGTGGCTTTCCTTGCTGATGATGCTGCTGCAATTAATATTTTGTTACAACCATTCCAAGGTGTAGAAGAGGGAGCTGGAAGCAACAGCATTTAAACGGGCGTGACCCAAAAGCCACTACTAAACAGGGCTGTGGGGCGAGTATTTACCTGGTTCCCTTCCTCCTCCCCCCTTGCAGTGGTAAAATTACCCCAAGCAACAGTGCTTTGAAAGGCAGGGAGCTTTTTGGTTTTTTTCTTCTGTACTGCTGAAGCAAGCTGACTCCACAATAAACCTGCAGTCTAAAACTCTTCTAGTGCTACCTTTCTTTTGCAGTCTTTCAGTATTACAAGAAAGGGGAGAGGTTGGGCCTGCATCCATGTGCTCAGAGATAGAGAGGCGGGCTGGAAGGAGGGTTACCAGGGGCAAACTTTGGGCAGCAGTAGGAGGGAGGCAGCTCCCATGGAGGAGGTCAGAGAAGGAACCATGCTGCAGGTGGCTCTTCTCACACCTCTCAGGGAGGCCTGTGGTCAGTGACAGCAACGCTGCCCCTGCATTTGGTGCTTGTCACTTGCTGCTGTCTCAGCAGTTCCAGCGGTGCTGGGGAGCACAGCAAGTAGGCTCCAGCTCTGCCGCTGCTGTTCACCTGCGACTCTCCACTGCCTTTCCTCTTCAGGGTAAAGGGAAGTGAGGAGATGGAGTTGGCACGGATGGGCACTCGTTTCAGGGGCTGAACATACCTGCTGAAGGAAGCGAGTAATAAAACCACTGCCCTGTTGGTGCATGTGCAACTCCTGGGAAGTCCACCTGTTGTGGCACTTCCATGGAAAGCCTCCTGAAGTAACAGCTGGCACTGCAGCCCAGATGTGAGACATGATGGGTGTGCACAGTTCAGTATCTGCTGTCATCTTTTGAGTGTAGCTAGTGATTTGTGCTTTTGTTCCCTTCCCTTCCAAGGAAAGGCAGAGGGATGTTGCCCAAGTCCTCCCTCGAGGAGGGTGGATGCTAGTAATGCTCATCTGCTGCATCATTGCCTTTCCTTGCTCTCGTCTTCACTTTGGGGTTTAGCAGGTACTTGGGGGAAGAGTCATACAGCCTCAGCTTGAGCACTAGTTTCCAGTCAAAACACAGCACTCCCTGATGGTTGAGAGCTGTTTATTCATGAGGATGCCTCTTGGAAAGTGTATGAAAGTCTGCGGTGAAAAAGGTAACCTGTTCTACTTCATCCCCCAGCCAGCCTGAACAGAAACAGTATTTGCTTACCCTTATGGGCCTGGCTGCCAGGCACACACAGAAGCAACGCCCGTCTTGGTACTCCTGCCTTCCTAATACAAGGGCATGTTGCTGTGAAACGGCTCCTACAAACATTCTAGTGTGTTTTTTGAAAAACCAAACTAGTCCCTAACTGACGTGCCTCCCTCTGCTCACCATTGCTCAGCCTGAAGGACGTTTCCATGCAGGGCTGGTGGCAGAGACAGTGTTTACTCTGCTTTTACTATTCCAGATCACGACAACGTTATTTCACTTAAGGCACTTACTATTATTTGCAGTTGCCAGTACATCAAGCAGCTCAGCTGCAGCAATGCTCAGCATTGCAATTAAGCAATGTCAAAGGGAAGAAGGAATAGTTCATTATTACTGCAGCACTTTGCCACACTCTTCTGGAGCAGTCCATTCCCCAGAGCAGAAGTTTGGCTAAAAGCTTCCAAGTGGGGCTTTTTCTTCCAGCTGTGCAGGGTGGCAGGAGGACTCCCCCTCCCCAGAGGAGGTTAACAGTGAGCAACACCATCCCCAAAGGATCCATTTTTTAATGCATGACCAGCAGTCCATCTCATCTGGTTTACTTTTTCACAGGGCAGGGGGGAGCCTGGAGAAGCCAGGCTTTCAGGGGACACATCCACCGTCTGCAGTTTCACACTGTAACCGGAACAGCCTGCGCACTGACCCAACAGTTACTCCAGCTGACCCCGTGCATTCTTCTTACCAGAGGACACGGTCCAAATCCATTTCAGAACCCCAACATGAAACAAAAAGTGCTTGCTTCTTTAAGGGCTTTGGGTTGAATCAGAAGCAAATCGACTCCTGGTCAGCCAAGAGCATCATCAAAGTAAAGGCTTGGCCAAAATGTAGAAGTGAGTTTAAACCGATTTGGGAGCAGCTTATGATGTCATGTGCTGCCTCCAGACATTACTGTTACAAGAAGCAGCTAGGTAGGAGGTATTTTTCTGACCCAAAAACATTATTGCCAGTGTATAGCCTCATGAAAAAACTTTTTGCTTTTTTACTTGGAGGTTTCTGTTCTTCCTGGGAGATTTCCCATTTTCCCATTTCCCCGAGTGTACTGTAAGCCGCTTTACTCTCAACAAGTGAGGGCTTTCCAACCAAAGCAAAAAAAAAAACCAACCCCAAGCCCCCTAAAACTTGCCAATAGTACAGTTGCCAATTTGGTCTTCCAGAGCCCAGCATCATGTTTTGGGACAAATACATGAAGACACTGATGTTACTTGGTCTATTTTCAGGCAGTACCAAAGCGTGAGTTTATAGAAAGCTGCTCTCATGTTACTGCGTGGTCACAAGCTTTACAATCATACCAATGATCTGAGATCCACGGGGGCACACACATAAATCCATGCTGGGATTCTTGATTTTATCCTGCAGCAGCTGGTCTAGTTCACAGCGCAGCTCTTTCACCAGCTCAGCCACCTAACACATGGTAAAACACAGATGAAAGGCATCGCCCACATTCTAAACACGAGCACAGCTCTGCAGCGCTCCCAGGATTATCCCTGCTTTTCCTTACCTGGTGAGAGGCAGCCACAAACCGTATCCATCCATCATCGAGAGAAATGACAAATTCTCCCTTCTGCAGCTGCATGTGGACCTGCCCACCTCCGAGCAGGACCAGCGGGTACACTGACACCATGCTGCAGTCCCGAATGAACACGCGACTGGTCTTGATTTTCTCGTGATATACCAGGTAGGGGCTCTCAAAGTGCCTGGTCTGGAACACGCATACAAGTTCCTTGTTAAACTAAGTCCCACATCTCTTCCTACGTGCTTGCCCAAACACAGGCGTCCCTGCCTCTTCCGTCGCTGCTAAGAACAGCAAACGTGCCTAAAATGCACCCGCATGCCTAACAGCCTCTGACCTGTATGAGCTGCCTCCAGCTTTGCCAGGTATCCCTTGCTCCTTCCCGCTTTGCAGCGAGCATGTGAGAAATCAGCAAATTCACTACTGTTGCCTCAAGGCCCCAAGTTCTCCGGTTCATGCCAAGAACATTTTCATGTGTGTGTTTGTTATGCTCTTTCAAACAGTTCAAAGCCTTTAAAACCCAAGTATGTGGTTAATGATTAAAAAATTTTTAAAGGGAAATAATTAATATCCTGTAAAAGCAATGAAGCAGCAAATATGGAGAGAGACTTCACAAGACAAATCTTACTGTGTATCATGGCAAAGAGAGAAGAGCTCTTATCCAAGTATTAAGATGGAAAGGAAATTAACTTCAGAGTTTGGGGACCCACAGAAAACCAAACCAGAGTATGTCCCTGAATTATTTACCAAGAAATAATACTAAATGAGGAGACAAAGCTTGGCGAGGCGCAGTGGGGAGAAGTCACCTACACGTATGAAGGTGCTACACGCACCAGGAGAAGCCAGGGGAGTGCTGCAACCACAACAGTTTTATGTGCAGCTTTGCAGACGCAGCTAAAGAAAAGAGGAATGGGGGATTACTGCATCTCCTAATTCCACTCCAGAGGCTGGAGTTGAAGTGTGTGC